GCGGGTCTCGAACCCGCGGGCTCAGGCAATCCACTCACCTCAGCCTCCCAAAGTGCTGGGATTACAGGCTGAGCCACCGAGCCCGGCTTCGTTAGTATTTAAAAAAATAATTGCTGGGTATGGTGACCTGCTCCTCCAATCCCAGCTACTTGTGAGGCTGAGGTGTAAGGATCACCCAACAGTGCCACTGCACTCCCGCCTGGGCGAGGGAGACCCCAACTCGATCAATCAATCAATCACTAGTCACATTTACTGGTCTTTGGTTGCCCGATTCAGTGGGAAACACAGAGGAAAGACTGTCATCTCGACAGGACTGGAATGTCTCTTACACTCGTTGGAGGGATGAGGGTCCACGTGGAAGGCCTTACTCTGGGATCCAGGGGCTGCGTTCAGGAATTTGAAATTGTATGTCTTTCTTCCCTTTATGATGCATGAGCATGCCTAAGCCGGGCGCGGTGGCTCTCGCCTGTAATCCCAGCATTTGGGGAGGCAGAGGCGAGAGGACTGCCTGAGCCCAGGGGTTCGAGACCAGCCTGGGCAACGTGGCGAGACCTTGTCCCTAAAAAAAAAAAAAAAAAAAAAATTTAGCCGGGCATGGTGGCGCGCGCCTGTAGTTCCAGCTACTTGGAAGGTCGAGGCTGCGGTGGCCGTGAGCTTGCCAGCCTGGGGACAGAATGAGACTCCGGCTCAAAAAACAGAAAATAAAATAATACAATAATGCATGAGCACGACTACGTGCATTTTTCGGACGAAAGACTCCGTAGTTTTCAACGGAACCAACCGTCCCAGATGCCCCAAGAGCCTGGGAGCCGCAATCCCGGCTCTCGGCAGGTCTGCAAAAGGAAGCCCGGCTTGGCTGCGGCTCTTGCGCCCACGTGACCCGGCAGGGCCCACTGCCCACAACAAAAATGGCGGGAGGCGCTTCTCGCGCAGCCCCTCCCGCTGAAGGGCCGGGCGGCGCCTCCGTGCTGCCTTCACCCTCCCACGCGTGACCCCGGAAGGACTTCTCCCCCGCGGCCAGGCAGCCGCTCCGCGCCGGGCTGCTGGGGGACGCGGACGGGGGCGCCCGGTGGCATCAGGCCTGGAGCTCGGGTTCGGCTGCAGGGGCCTAGGGCGGGCCCGTGGGGGGA